TTCCCTAACAGGAACCTGGCAAACCCCATCCTGCACAAAAATTTCTGGATCCGCCCCTAACCCACCACAAGTTTCATGGTCAAAGTTGTAATAATATACCTCTTAATTTCATAATTTTTTTCCCTGTTTATTTTTCTGTTCAGTATACACAAGATCTTGGGATAACAGGTCTGTACTGTACTGTAAATAATGATCATGATTCAACTTTTGTCAAAATACGTCAAGATGGACTCAATTGAGTCAGTACAAAGTAATATTTATAACTTTGGTTGTACTTTTGCAAAAACAAAAATGAAAAATGGATATGGATCATCTATATTTCAATACTTATGTTCCTGAAATTGGATTTAAATTGCTTAAAAACAACTCTGTGGAGTGAGTACTGATACATGCAAGTGATGACAGACAGATGGGTGGGTCTAGTGTACAAGGGCGATGACAACATAGACCAAATTAAATGTGTACAAGGGCAATGACATTAAATGAGTATAAGGGTGATGACATATCTGGTAACATCATAGACCACATTAAATGTGCACAAGGGCGATGACAACATAGAACACATTAAATGCTAGGCTATAAAAATTAATTGATCATCAAAACCTGACAATTAAAACTACAAGTTTGATTACTGTATCCTATTTTTAACAGTTCTGAGGGTACAATAAGCAAAATCATTCACAAATATTTCAAAGTCAAAAATCTGTACTGGAACTTTTGGTACATGTATTTAGCAATTTTAAAAGTAGGCCCTACATATAACAAAACCATTCAGCAAACCTTGGCAGACTCCGGTACCCTACATCTAGCCTCGGCTGAATGACGGTATGTGATATGTAGCTATACCCGTACAATTATGATGCGGCTGCCGGTTTACTATTAGGAAAACTTGCCGCTGTTAGAAAGAAGTTCTCAAGTGTGTCGTTCGAAGACATTAGGCAAAAATTGGCAGACTCCTGTTCCCTTTCTAGCTTTTAATTTAGTCAAGCAATGTAAGCATTTACAAACAACATGCAGTTTCTTGAGATAAAACACACTTCACAGACACCGCCAATGTTAATCCAATGGGCACTGCCATTTTTAATCCAGGAACTTGAAAGTAGTTCCAATATGACGGAATTCGTCATACAGCTAAGGCTAGATGTAGGGTACTGGAGTCTGCTGAGGTGTGACGAATGATAACAAACCAAGTATAACTACCATCTTAAAGAATGGGATTAGGTTAGCTTGTAAGAAAAGGGTAGCTGAATTTCTATTACATTATTTGTCTTCGACACATAAGATAGTCATGTGAAATTAATATTAAACAATGTAAACTTGAAATGACTGTAACTTTTTGAACCAAAACAATTTTAAACCGAAGTAGGATCTACTTGTGAGTGTGTTTATGGTCTAAATTTTTATTCTGGCATGTTGGGGCTTTAAATTAAGCCTTCAGTACAAAACAGGATACTTCATTCAACAAACTTGTTAAAGCCAATACTTTTGATGTGATTTTTTAATGCACACAATGAGCTATTTTATGCAGAGTAATAATAATAATGTGTCATTTGGAAGTATAAATCTACAATAAACACCCTTTAAACATCTTTACTGAAAGGTCGTGCATTTGTACAATGCCTGTTTGTTTTCAAAGGCCTATATTCTTTTAAAGAAACAATAATTGACAGGAAAAGTCACTGTGGATTTTAGAATAATGACATTATGGTAATATTTTGAATCAGTTTAAATCTTCTTTCCGACAAAAAAAATGGCTATCTTTTAAACAAAACTGATAAACAAGGAAATGATTCTAAAACTGTCGACAATGTGTCTCTTTTGATCAGCTTTAAAGGGCTTCTAAATCACAACAATATTTATTTTAGCCCATGAAGAGTACACAATCTAGAAATAAGTTGGTCCAGACAGTGTTTTACAGAGCAAAGATCTTCATTTGTTTCACCTGATACAGCATGAAATATTTACAAGACAAATGATGTTCAGATGTTAGAAGTTCAGCCATTTGGAAGTTGGTGACCTTAGTTTGGCCTTGGTTGCATGTTTTCATTAAAAACCATATGTCATCTATCAATGATGGTGTAGTACATTAATGTCCATCTGACAACCACAGATTCACATTTCTTCCATCAGTATCAATCAAAATTCAAAAGATGAGAGATGTAACCAACGAAAAAATGTTTATAAATACTTCTTACGATTATTTCAGAAATACAGGAATATGACTTATCGCACAATCATGTTTGCATAATCAAACATAAGAGGAGCAGTTTTTGAAAGAAGGGTGGGATGCAATGGAAAGTTTTGACGACTGTAACAAGTAAAACTTATTTTGGACATTTTCTAGTGATTTTTCAGAGAAAACCCCAGCAAAGTTGACTAAAAATGCAATTTGTTGCATGTCACATTAAAACAGTTCCTAACATTCTTTTTTTTATATGATATATAGAATAGAATAGAGTAAAATTTTATTGCATCGAAACGTCCTTTGAGAAAAAAATAAAATATACAAAATATAATATTATAGATACAAAAATTATGGACGGGCACAAATTCAGGAGCACTCACATAACCAGATGGAGTAGAACCCACATACACGGTACATGTTATTTGAAAATACAAAACATAAACAAAATCATGCAAATTAGGTGTCTCTCCGCAAAAAAATATCATGCAAATTACATATCAGGTGTCTCTCTGCAAAAAAGAGTAGTAAACAAAGGCTGCGACACTTGTGGTTATAATACTCGGTTGGTTGAAGAGATTTTCAAAAATAATAGGTTATACCAGTAAAGTCAAGGATTAGATATAAATAATGTCTTCTTAAATCTTAATATTTTTGGCATTCCATAAGAAAATATGTTTGTTTTATATTGTCGTGTTGGTGTCCCGTCCGTGGCATAGCTATGATTTCTCACTTAATATTTCCGACAATGAGATTTAAGAAAAGAAAGACAGATTAACAGACAGAACCAGGCCAAATAAACTTATTTTAGCTCTTTTCATGAAATATGGTAATAAAAAAATACTCTGATTGTACCGTCTGAGGTTTTATGACACTTTACATAATAAACTTGCAACTTATGGCAGGACGAATAATTGCATATTCCTTGTGTCCTATCAGGTGAGCAAGGCTTGTATATAAAAGAAATGACATGAAACAGGGTTTTATATTCTATTGTTCTGCTCTGACGGAGTGCTATGAGGGAAATTTTGCCCGGATAGCGGCAATGTGCACAAGTTTCCATCCCATCCGAATGACTATATGTTGTCTCTTGCCTGGTCCTCTGTCCTGCACCACTGACAAGGGGAAACTACACCAGAAAATCCCAATGAACTTTCTCGGCCAACACCTGGATCGAAAACGGGACCTACAGGCATCTTACTAAGTGAGCCACCATGGCTCTGAACTATGTGTATGGGAAAAAAACTAAATACAATAGTTAAGCTTTAAATATGTAACATAAGGGTTTATTATTTCAAGCCTATGATTTTATGGCTGATCGGGCATACGATCCATCAGAAAAATAACCTTGAGTTTAATAAAACATTTGATTTTATTTTCAGGCATGGTACATCATGTATAAATAATCATTTTGTCCTCTGGCTAAATACACATTGAAGGATTACTTCGATAAAGTTCTATGGACTGGGGCATGTCATTAGATTTAACAGCTTAACTGCTTCCAGCCTTCATAGCCTCACAAAGCGCAGCAATAGAATTTTCACTAAAATTCTAACGATATACAGCAATTTTCCACATATGATGGAAAGAAAGCTATAATCTTCAGACATCTCTGAAGTTTAAGTTGCGATTATCAACAGGATACAGATATTTTGTAAAAGATTAGCTAATCACTACTAATATATAGTTAGTTATCCAGGTCAGGGACGAAAAATAAAGTGTTTGTGCAATATACAGATTACACAAATAGAAAATGTTCCGAAATATTTCATTTATTTCCTGAAAACAGAAATAAAAACTTGTTGTCTAATAAATCTAACGTCTATAGAATCACATGGACTTTTAACCTACATGTACAATACTTTCAATTCAATTTATAAATATAAAAAAAGATTCATGTATCATTATTCAAACCATGTCTAATTTTATACATAAATCAACCAAATATCTTGACAACGTTTTAGGTGTCTGCTCTACAAGTTGATCTAACATAATACAGATCCATAATTTAAGACCTCAAGATGGGATATATCGAGTAACCTGATAAATCTAAATACATATAATTTAATACTATCGTCTTTAAAATGGCTTAAAATAAAAGCTCATTTGTGTTTGGAAATATAATTGACTAATATTGTCATTAATTTCATTTGGATAGCAAAATTTGATCAACTGCTTAATTCATTATCCGTCAGCAGATGTTCTTACAATTATGTGTTTAAAGCTACCGCTTGACGGCAGGTAGATATCACCAGGGACGCATATGACAGGTGTGTCAGATAGTGTTCATATAGTTGATGTAAATTAACGACAACCTGATACTTTACACCTGAGATACGAATAACAAACATCTGATAGTGTACATGTAGCTATTATATTTACCACAAATATACCAAGAAAATCACAATCTTGTACTTGCATAGTCTTGTGGGAATTTTCCAAAAGAAAATGATAAATAAAATTGATTTCATAATATTTAGGCACAGTTTGCAAGAATCTATACTGGTTATTAATTATTTGAATTATCTGCTATTTTGACAAAAATAAAAACAGGTCAAAAATAAAGTTTAAAATTATGTGAATAAAATAAGTGTGCAAGAGGAATAGTTAACTTGTATTTTGAATTGGGTTGCCTAAAAACGAAGCTCATGCTTTCAATATTATTTTCATATACTATGTCGATTATTTATGAAAACTGGAATATCACAACCACTTTTATCTGAATTTGTCAAACGATCGCCCAAAATTTGAGATTTCTTCTTTTGCCTCCTCACTCTCTACATGAAAAATATAACAATCTTTTGATAGAAATATTTACCTTTCCTAGTTAGATTTGTAAAATAACTTTTCTCTAATAATAAACTTTAATCCAGTGTTTCACAGTATAGAATATCCATATCAGACTGGTTTAAAATAAATCCTTTATACAGAGAATGTCACACCCTATAGCACACAACAACAAACTCAGTTCAGTGATAGTATTTTAACACACATGAACTGTCCAATAAAAGTTGTACACATTCCTCTGTTCAACTTTGCATAAAGCAGAAAATATAGATGACAGGTAGATATCCTTCCAATGATGTACTTAGTGAAAGTTCAAACAACTGATCAAGATAAGTAATATTATACCTAGCTTTTGACAAGATAACTTCAAGTTAAGGACAGGCCTCACCACAGAAATACAAATACACTTGAGAAACTACCTAGCTTGAGCAAAGGCCAAGAGACAACTGACTATTACCAGTACAGTCACAGCTCAGTAGTCCTCAATACCAGTACACTTTTACAACAATACACCCAACTGGTTTGTATCCAAGGCCAATACCTGATAACCATCTGATTCACAGCTCTGGCAGTCAAGTGAGAGGCAGGGAATTTAATTGGATCAAATATTTGATTAACACAAGCACACAATTCCCCCAACATTCAGTCCACCAGCCAGAATTTAAAAGTGGAAGTTGTCAACAAAGTCAACATAGACTATGAAGGGCAAAGTTTACTCAATGCTCCTATCTCATAGGGACAATGTTTATTAATCATTTAGTTTGGTTCATAATATAAGAAATGTTTGTTTTATTTATGAGTGTGATCTGGTCTATGATTAGTACCATACAATCAATTGATTGGATAATATATTACCAGGGGTTTAAACGTGGGGGAAGGGGGGGGGGTCTTTTCTAAAAAAAAAAATAGGTGGTCGGTCTGAAAATTATGCATCAGCGACTAAATGAAGTAATGAAGTAAACAAACAATGCTAAAATAGAAGGGAATAATCCCAAATGATCAAGTTAACAAACAAGCTAGTGCAAAGTTATTTATCTTTATATATCACAGTTTGTCTTCAGTATATTCAACAGTAAACATATTCCATGTGGAATGACAACCCTTGCTAATAAAATATATTTATTCTATCTTGACAAATTTTGCAGCATATCAAAAACCCATAACAGTCCTACAAATTTTATGAGATTTTAGTTTTAGATTTCACACATTTTGCACAACTGGCTATTTCTTGTTATTAGTATTATTCAAGTGTACTGGCACAGCCATGTCATTGTCTGTTTTGGGCATGACAGATATGTAAATCTACTTTGTTCCAACTAAACTAACATAGGAATTCCAGAAAGACATTTTATGGATGTTAACGCCGAATCGATGCAAAATGCCAACAAAGTCCCCAAAGGCAATAATTATCACAGATAAATGTAACCTTTCTAAAAGACACAACAGAAGATTAAAACAGGCTAAAATGGCGCCAATTGTGAGCTCAGTTATAGAAATTGCCATAAAATAAATGATAATGGATATTTTTTTTTCTTATATAATGAGTTTCGCATTCATAGTCTTCTGTAATTGTGCAAAATAAAATGAATCGAAAAGAAAGAAATGTCTCATATATGCAAATTTGAAACATGGGACATCAATTGCATGCAGCTTTGGGAACAGAGAAAAAAGTTATCATACGAATAGGACTACCTAATATTATAAATCTATTTTGGCAACTTAAGAGGCACCCAAATAATCTGCAATAAACACTGTATTTACTGTTGTTAAAGGAAAACTTTAATGAAAATGATCTCTCAAAGTGTATGAATAAGCTTTATTTAATGTCCGCTTCGACCAAAGAGATCCTTGCATACTAGATATAGGATTTTTAAGTAACAGAAGTCATTGCCATTACCAAACAGACAAAATCTCAACACCATCTCTGTAATGAAATCTAATTAACACCTACTTGCTAATTAGTTTAATGACAAGTATTCAGTTAATTAGTTGAGTAATGTGTATTCAAAATGTATATCACTCTTAATTGGCTATGCTTTTAATTATTACAGATACTGGATCATTTTATACAAACTCTCAGATGCTTACTCTTTTTCTAACCTCTGATACCACTTGCCATTTAAAAAGTTTACATAGTTAAGAAAATTTTTACATGTTTTGCAAGTAGGATGCAAAAAAAATTCTCACGTCATTCCAGCAAGATTTTGATTTTATCACTGAAATTGTTGATACTTTTCCACACCTTGCTCTCCTCTCCCAAAAGAGAGAGAGAGAAATGGGGTTTAACGTCCACTCGACACAAACTAGGTCATTTCGGGACTAACATATGGTTAATTTTATTTCATTAATTTGCTTGCGCGTAGGGGTCTTTAGCAGTGGGAGGAAACCGGAGGACCCGGAAAAAACCCACGAGGATGGACAGGCGACCCTACTCCTTGCCACGTACAACCGGGGATTCGAAACCACGCCAGTTGACTCAATGACAGGCCGTATGATACAACATATAATGATTTAGGTTAATGTGATATCAACAGCAACTTTTTGATTTAAATAAACGTTTCCTTGTTGCCATCATAAAAACAAAATGAGGCAGATTTCCACATTGCATAACAAAAGACTATTATAAATATGTACTATCCCATGCAAATAACATCATTTGACATCTAATTAATTATGCGCATGTCAATCATTTCTCTAACATGTCTCATCTATTATTCATAAAGAATGAAATAATCTGACACAGGATACACAGCTTTACAATGGGCACAACATTTGGGGAGCAATTAAGTAAATTTGGAAACACACAGAGGTAAACACGTTTGAAGTGAAAACTAATTCAATTTCAGTTTGATCAATATCTGATATTCAGGCTTTGACACACTGAAATGGTGTTAACAGAAAAGTTTAGTGTCATGTGTTAATTTTAAAATCCTGTAAATTTTATACTACTGAATATTTGGAATTAAGTTTTTATTCTGTGTACATTGTAACCACATGAAAGCTTCAAATTTGACAACAATTAAAATCCTACAACACCCCCACAAATCATTATCAACAAAACCTACAGAGCAAGTTTTTAAAATAATCTGCTGAACTCAATTGCAAGCTTTAAATGTTAAGATGTCAATTTATCATTGACAAAATATTTTATAAACCTATGAACATTATATTCAAATTATTATCAAAGTTTATAGCATATTGTTGTCTGCTTATACATTTACTGTGACTCACTTCCTACTCTGCCTCCCTCCATGCTTTTTCCACCTATTTCAATAAATAATTTAAAGTTTTAAAAGAATATTTGGGTCAGATCTATTTACCAAGGCCACCTGTAGATTTCCTCAAGGTCATGAGATGTAAACAGGGTTAGGGAATGTGATTGTTGCCGAGGGTTGTGAGTTAGGGTAAGGCCTAACCCTGTTTGCATTTCGTGACCTTGAGGAAATCTGCAGATGCCTGCCTTGGTAAACTGATCTATTTGGACTCCTGTTTTTGCACCAACCTTTTGGAGTGTGTGACAACTGATATTGTAATTTTTTGTTTGGGGGATTATCCATGATTCTTTAAAATTATGGTTAATGTAGGAGATAAACACTTTCTGTTTCAAATTTTGAGGGGGTTTATTGTCCATTTAACCATGCTTGAATAATAAGAACACAATACCGGTACGCAATACGATATTGTAACTGAAATATTTAGGGATTTTCTAACTTACATCATTTATTACTAAAGTATTAATAATAATAAGTTTTAAATTTTTTACACACATATTAGTCAGACTGAGGGCACATTCAGTTATAATTTGTGTGATCTTATCAAAATGAAATACTATTTCAATTTAGCTCTTAAAATAACATATTTCATCCACTAAAATAAAAGATGATGTTGTGTCATGGATGGACACAAGTCAAAAATAACAAATAAATGTATCAATTTGATCAACCTGTCAAAACATGTCATTTAATTTTTAATGGGCTAGGTTTTTGTTTTCTTTAATTTAATGGTCCAGTTGGTAAAAAGTAAATATCTGTCATTGAGTAAACTTTTATTTTAGTTCTGACACTAATGCATGTAAACAATTAATCCACTGTGAATGTTAACAATGATAAACATTTAAATGATCAGACTATGTTTTCTTGGCCAGTTGGACTGCATTGTCTATTAAACTTATTTTCTGATTGACACTTGTTAAAAACAAAAGCTACTAATTAGCAAACAATGCAATGTTTAAAACTTTCAGGTAATCAAATTATTATTTTTAATATAAAATTCATCAGTTGTTATAGGCCTGATTGTTTGATCCGGGATAAACAGAACCACAGCAGGAATAAACACAGCAAATGTATAGCTTTAAGTTATTAAAATATTCCACTCGGTAGGTTAAATGCCACTTTTCACTTAAGAACTATTATATTTGTCTTTGATAAATGGTATATTATATTAATTGTAAAGTGCCATATATTGTAATAATGAGCACCATATGAAATGTTATAAAATTAAACATAAAATTAACCAGATATGGAAATAGTATAAACTGTAATTTTACAGAAAGAAATGACCTCATTAATCACTGAGTTTGGTCTTTAATCATAAAATTCATCAAATGAAAGAATGATCCTCTATGTGCTGATCCTTTGATTTTACAAATGAAGATGTCCAAGACAATTGGTGCAGGTCTGTATCAAGAGATTTAACGTCTTCTCCCAAATTTATTTTAATAGCGATTGATATCAGACAATATCCTTCTATCCTCCTTTTATTCTCAATATTAGCTATTAACTAGGTCGTCTTGGGGATAGCATTAAAACCAAATCCATAACAATAGAATTTGATGTCCTTCATGAATCATGGCAGTAAAGTCATCAACTGCCATCTTGAAAGAGGGTAATTTCCTCACAAGACCAATAAACTGAAGCTCTCCTTAAAGTTCCTGATTGTAAATGCAATTGATGGGGAAATACAAAGTTTTCTTTCCTCATGGATGGCTAAATGGTTAGACTAAAACAGGAAGTATGAATTGTTCTGTGAGAGGAAGAAGGTGTAAATGTTGATTAGAGTCAACAATAAAAGGTTTCATTAAACAAACCTTATGTTCAATGGGCAACTGTCAGGTCATAGAGAATGTAGCACAATTACACTATTCTAATATTACAGAGAGAATCTTTATTCTGTTGTTTTCTTACATAACATTGGTTGATTAAAGGGTGGTCAATTATATCTCTTGGATAATCTAGATTCACAAAATCACATAGGAAGATAATTTCACTGCGTAACCATATGCAAGTGCATCAAATAATGGTTCAATAATTTACATTAAAAAATAAGCACTCACCAATTAAAAAATTGAGATGGGCAGATACAAACATTTTTACCACCCACAAAAATGTGTCCACTATACAATGTCCCAAGCTGATGACAAATACCACTTTTTAATTTCTTGTTCAAAATATTACTCTCTCGGAGAAATAATAATTATCCTGTCATTTTAAAATACAACATGGTATTAACTCTGCCCTTATCTATATCCCCGATATTCTGTCGGAGCCATTTAAAAATATAGTATATTGTCTCTCTGTATTTTGTGTTGTATGCAGGCCTGGACATAACTTTCAAATGTGTGTCTGACACCATGTCAGGC